GAGTGAACAGGTGTCTTCCATAACCACAAGTGTCTGACTCACCCTTCAAGCATTTTCTCCGGCAGTCTTGTTATACCTTCATGATTCAGCCATGCAAGGCTGTTCATGGACTGCTGAGCACTGTACCCCTCTCATTTCTCTTTCCACGCACTCACTTCTTTCTGGAATTCCTTGCCTGTTCCCACCTTCTACATTATGACCCAATTTGAATGTCACTGCCACAAAATGACCTCCCTAACTACCCCAACAGTACTAGTGACCACTGAATCTGGGCTCCTGTGGCTCACTCTCGCTCGTGTCCACTTTCCTATTAGTCTGTGTCTTCCTGGAAGTGGTACAGCCATGGGAGAGGGCATGAGCTTTGCCCTCTGCATTTGACCTGTGAGCTCTCTTGGCAAACACATTTGACTGTTGGGAGCCTCTTTGGTGCTTTCCTTGTAAACAGGCAAGGAGATACCACACTGAAATGCTGTGCTGACGAGGAAATGAATCCATGGATCACCATGGATCTTGACACATGAAAGTTCTCAGTAACTGTGGGGTAGTGGTGGTTGTGGGTAAGGTGAAAGTAACTGATTCTCCTGTTGGCAAAGTGTGCCTCTCATCCGCTTGCTGAGTGATCCTCCAGCTTCCCTGTGGGCTCTGCCTGTGACCTGGAGTTCACTGTCCTTCCAGTCTTTTGTGATACTTAAATATTGATAGAGCAAAGGTTCACTAGTGTTCAGGCTAAATTACCATATGTCTATTTGGAGGATATTTTTGAATTGTCAGCTAGTGTGTGTGTGTACATATATATATATATATATATATATGAAATTTTAAAAAAATTTAGATCATGTTAATGTAGTTGATCAGAATGGGATGGAGCAAGGGTTAGTGAAAAGTGGGTGTGATCATGGTTTCCAAATTTTCTGTTTTTCTTTCTTGTTTCAAAGGGCAGGGGTTGAGGGGGCAGAGGGGAGAAGCCGTACCCAGCCTACCAACCACTCCAGTACCCAGGGATTGAGAATGTCCACTTGATATCAAGCCAGGGTCCCAATGTGTCACACACTCCAAGGTTTTTGCCCAGATGCTTTCTATAATTCTGAAATGTTCATCTTGCCAGTCCCAGGATGAGGGATCTCTTTCAGTGTCCCTTGTCTGACATAGCCAGCCTCAGAGTCTCCATTCACCCAAATACTTGCTGTCATTGTCTGGCTGGGGTTGTTGTCCAATTTGTTCTGCCACACATCTTAAAAGTCCATATCTCCGGGCATTTGCCTAGCATGACTCAAAGTCCTGCCAGTGCATCTTGGCATCTGGCAAGGTGAAAGTCCCCGGTCATGGGCCTAAGCTGCCATGGCTGCCTTACCTCCATATGGGGGACACATGTGAATTGTCAGTTGTGTGTGTGTGTGTGAGATTGGTCAAAATTTTTGAATTGCCAGTTGTATGTGTGTGTATGTGAGGGACATTTTGGATTGTCCGTCATGTGCATCTACATGCCTGTCTGTACATTAAGGAATGATTGGCTATGTGCTGTCTCCTGGAGTATCACTCTAAAGAAAGTCACGATGGAAGTTTACCTCCACAATGAACTCAGGAATGGCCTTGGATTTTCCCAGACTTTTTGTTTCGGGGTCGATTTGCATGGGTGGACTCTGTCCTGAGAACCTCATGACCGTGTCCTGTTCAACCTGAGCCTCTTTACTTTCTGAAACTTAAGTGTACAATGGAGATCCTTTTTGTTATTTGACATAAAATATTCTGTTGCTCAAAAATTTGAAAATCTCTAGAGTAGATTACCTTTTAGGCCTCTTTCTGCCCTCAACAACCATTACAGCTCTAAAGTAAAATAAAGCTTGATCTGTGTATACATTTCTCCAGCATTCTAATTCATGTTTGGTTTTAGAGACATTTTCTCCAATGAAACAAAATCTTGCTTCAGAAACTTTGCCATCTGATTTGCATCACTGTTGTAAAAGACCATTTGTTTCCTTTTGTCTGTGTTTCTTCTAACTTAATCAAAATTACCCTCATGCTAGGAGGAAGTCCCCTGCACGGAGCGGGATAGTAAAGTGACTGTCATCCTTTATGTCTCCTGCTGTCCTGTCCTTTCTTCCCAGGCTATTCCTGGGAAAGACCAGGAGTGCAGGTGTGAAATTGGCAGAAGACATCTCTCTCTTTTCAGCAAGTCCTTTCTCCAAATCTCTCCAGCTGATTTCAATGAACCAGAAAGGTAGAGATAATTTATTTTGCATAACTTCTCCACCTTTCAGAAATGGAGAATGGAAAGTTAGGAGCAGGGACTAATTTATATAGGCTAAGGTAATGAACCCTAACTGCAGCTCTGGTGTTCTCCAGTTCAGTTTTCTTTCTAGAAGGTAACCATGTGGTGTATCGGTTTCTTGTTAGAGAGTGGGGATGATACTAATAGTAGCTGCCTCACTGAGTTGTTTGGAGAGCTACATGTGAATGGAACCCTTAGAACAGCGTTGGGACCATACCTAATTGCCAACACTTGATTGTTTTTACATGTGACCATGACTGTGTGTCCATACGTTGGCAGTAAGCTGCCCAAGGTTCACTCACTGGTGGGAAGATGTACATTAGTGACCTATTCCTGTCTTCCACCCTGCAAAGTGAGTGATCAAAGTGCTTTTATCTTTCAGCATCCCATCCTCCCAGGACACTGTTCCCTTCTAGGTGACATTGGGTGGGTAACTAGTTTGATTTAGAGAAATAAACTCCACCTTCACTTATTATTAGCGGTTGACTATTGTTTCTGCCTAGCATACTAGTCAGCTCTTGGTTACTTAACTAAATGACCTGAGGGCATCTTCTTGGGGATGGGAGGAGTTTTTTTTGGGAGAATTTGGAGGTTTGCCGTTTGGGATCAGACAGACCTGGGAGTCTGGCAGCTGATAGAAGCTGCATTGGAGAAGCAGTTGTGGAGAAATGATCCTGCTGGAGGCCAAGAAGCAGAGAGAGAGAGAGAGAAGGAAGACAGGGATTCAGCTGAAGCAAGCAACCCCCTCGCAGGACCTACCTTTGCAGGGCAAAACCAAAATGACCAGAAGCCCCTTCCCCTCCCCTGCCCCACCCTCAGACCAGATACAGCTCAGGCAATCAGATCAAGCCTTCACTGTGGAGTCATGAACTCTAAGAATTCAGAGTCGAAACCTACGTGTGAATTTGGAGTGACAGGTCTTGCTCAGCCCATAAACTCCTGTGTTGAGGTGTGAGCTCAAGGAAGAGATGCCCACTTCCAGGGATCCTGTTGGAGACTGAATGGATGCAAAGTACCGAGCACGAGTTAGCAAGCAGATCCAGTTGGATCTCACAAACCTGTTGCCTAACTACTCTCCCCTCCTTCCGATCCCTGGAAAATGAGTGCTAACCAGCAAGCGGAAGAGCATTTAGGATACAGCTGCCAACATTTTATTTCTTCGTGAAGTTCATGTAAATGTAGCTTTTGTTACAAGTGCGGATTACTTAGCTTTCAACTTTATCTTACTTTCTTGAGCAACCATTTGGCTGTAGCCCAGTGGCGGTATGGCTACAAACCATTACCTGCCAGTGAGAAAAAGCAGGTCATTGCTACAGCTTGTGTGGCACTACACTGTATCCCCATTGTGAGGTGGCTGCTGGGGAAGCCCCGATTGCCTCACACACCTGGAAGATGGAGGTTCTGTTCTGTGATATCACAGGATGCAATCACCTACAGCATGGATAACCCCCACCTCCTTTTTTTTCTGTGCCTTTGGCTTCCCTTTTCATTCTCTTCCTAACTCCACACTGGGTCCCATTCTTGCAGAGCATTCCGTTTCACTGACACTGCGGGTCACCTAAAGGAACCCACATGGTCACCAACCCATGCAAGGGAGTTGCAAGTTCTGGACTTGGAACTGTCACCCAACAGGGAACTTTGGAGGAGTATGGGAGAGGGTGGGGAGAAAGAGAGGGAGGAAGGGAGGGAAGAAGGGGAAACTGAAACTTTCATTAGTATCAGGACTTCCCAAGCATGGCCCGAGGTCGCTCTTGTCTATCAATGACTTTAATATTCCTAAATGGACTGACTCCCTGGCAGTGCTGTTAAAGAAAGCCCCAACCAGAATCTCTAACACCCTCGCAGCTGCTGTGTGTCTCCTGTGCTCAGAATGCTCCAGGAGGGCCCAGACCTCACTTCTCTTCTCCAGGATTTGCGTGACCACTTGAGTGGCGCGGGATCTGGAGCCGCCCACGCAGCCGCAGCCGCCTGGGGGCTGCGGTGCCCTGGGGTGCCCTGCGGGGGCGGGAGTGACGGACAGGCGGGCTCGTGCCTCTCAGACGGTGCGCCCCTCCCTGCGAGCCCGCGGTGTCAGCCCAGTTAGGGACGGCGACTTCTCTGACTTGTCAGCTTTCTAGCTTGTCAGCAGAGTGGCTGGTGAGTGAAAATGGGGGAGAAGGGGCGCGGCATCAAGAAAGTGGTGGGGGAAAAGGGGTGCGGCAAGGGGCGGAGCTGGGGGCGCGGCCACTGGGTGTGACCACCCTTCTACCCATGCCAGCCTTCTGAGGGATTCTTGCCCCAGGTCCCCTTCTCCCTTTCTCCCTCCTCATGTTCTTCACCTTCCCTCCAAGCCCCGTCTTCCATTTTTTCCCTCTAAATCCTTAGTCTGCCACACTGGTGACTTCCGTGGCTTTGTTTAGGAAAAAGAAAAGTATCCAAATAGACCCCAGGTGCTTTCTCCTGGAACAGGCGCACCATTCCCAGCCCTGTTTCTGGGCTTTGTCCCACGACCATGGCTGATGCTTTTGGCTGCTTCCAGGGCGTTCCTGGGACCAGGGTCGCCCACCATCCGCACCCGCTCTAGTCTGGGTTTGGGAGCCGCAGGGGGAGCGCACAGAGGAAGTGACAGTGCCAGGAACGCGCGTGCACACACGCAGGGCTGGGGAGAACTGCTGGACTGCTGGACCGGCGAGGAGGAGGAGGAGGTGGGGAGGGGACAACCTGAGCTCTGCCAGCCTTAACCCCCCAGTGATCCTCTACAGCTATGGAGTCCCCAACCAAGGAGATTGAAGAATTTGAGAGCAACTCCCTGAAATACCTGCAGCCAGAACAGATCGAGAAAATCTGGCTGCGGCTCCGAGGGCTGTAAGTAAAGCCATTTCTTTCTCTTGTTCCGTACCTTGTCCCATCACAGCCACAGCCTTGCTGGCTCGCCTCATTCTTGCACCGCTCTTTAAACACAGCCCTGGAAGTTCCACAACTGCTTGCCTGTTAATTACAGTCCCTGCCACCTTCCTTTTGGCACAAAGAGGGGGGCTGTCTTTGCATCTCAATGCCTTGCCCCCTCTGACTGAACTCTCTTTTGTGTAGACTGGGTTTAGACGAAAGAATTGTGGTAGATGTTTCTGGTCCTTTTAACGGGATATCTTGGTTAAGGACTTTTAATCAAAGAAAAGAGTTTTTCTCTGCAAACCGTGGCTCACTCACAATGCAAATACAGTATGCACGCTCGCTGTTAAGGTCTCTTCTCTTTCTCCTGAGTGTGGTCTAACTTGGGTTCTTTCCTGACAGGCAGGAGACAAAAATCTTAGAAGGAAGGGAGAAAGTGGAAATCAGAAGCAATCCTGGAGTTTCCTAGTAACGTTGGAGCAGTGAAGTAGGACGTTTGGTGTTGATCCAGCAGTTAGAGTTCTGGTGGACTGATTGGAGGGGATTCATTCCCTTCACTGAGTTCAGCCTGGTTTTGAGTCCTGAGGAGAGTGACCTAGGAAACCTGGTCTTTCCCGTGAAAAGGTTTCATAAATAGTGACCTGTCCATCACCTCAGTCCAGGAAGCTTGAAGTCAGTGCAGGTGGACAGCTTGTCCCTCAGTGGCCACACAGCTCCCTGAGACACCTTTCTTGACCACCTAGGGCTCTGTGCATCAAACATTTGTCCTCAGATAGCTAGTGTGCTTTCAAAGAATAGTTTCTCCCTGACTGTTCTTGTGTTGTTTGGATGCTCTTTCCTCTCAAGGACAAATGAGCTGTCCACCAGTTTGTTTATTCGGCAGCCTTTGTTATTTCTGGAAACATACACCCGCACAAACACACACAAAACTTATCGTAAAGCACCGAAGAAGCTGGTCCCTCTCAGGAGAGACTGCAGTCTAATCAAGGGCATTGAGAGTTTCCAGGTAGAAGCAAGAGGTCCCATGTGCTTCTTTATGGGGAACCATATTTAAAGTAGTATTTTGTAAACACTGCTTCATTGGTCTCCAAGTGAGTTCCGTTACTGGTGCTCTGGATAGAAAACCATGCCAACTCGTTTGGTTGTAGACTCCTCTGGCTGCTGCAGGTAGAGGTTACAAACTTATTTAATAGTCTTCCCTCTCTGCCAGGCAAGCTCTCCTGATGGTTTAGATGCCTGCACTGCAGCTACTATTTGAAGGTGTGGTTCCTTTAGTATAGAGAACCTAGTATAGTAAGCTCTTGCTGCACATAGTGATCCTGAAGTCCCATTGTACTGTGAAAGTTTGTCATGTCCAGCAAGTCTGGATGGGTCCTAGGTGAACACCTTCCAAGTGCTGGCAGGTGTTTGCCATCCTGACTGGAGGAAGCCACATCCACACACTGAGGAAGTGCTTCTTTTAGGCTCTTTCACAATTCAGACTAATGCTGCTACTCCACGCAGCCACTCAGCCTGCAGACAGATCCGTAAAGCCGAGGTGGGAACTTGTGCAGGAAGAGCATTTCGTGCTAACATCACACAGTCGTGTAGCTTGCTCAGTTTCCTATCTGTTTGACTTCTCTCCCCAAGGTGTTGTGACAGATCCTAGGGAGTGCGAAGGGTTGCTGCTTCTCCCAGTCTGTGTTACTAAATCATTCTGCTTTGCCTTCCTCCTGTAGCACCTTGCCCAAGAGTAATCCCCTGAGAGTTTTAGCTTCATTCTCAAATTAGAAAAGGATATGCTGTGTTTTATATATATATATATATATATATATATATATATATATTCCCCCAGCAGTGCTGGATTATGTTGCTATAGGCTCTGGACACCAAAGCACATGTTCCTCTCTTTGACTTGGAGTAACACATTCACAGTCCACATAGTAGAAACTTTCAGGAGCTGGGAGACTACATGTGTCTTCTGTCTGCCTGGCAGGTTGTCAGTGAGAGGAAAGGAAGCTGCTTTTTAAACTTTCCAGAAAGATCCAGTAGCCACAACGTGGCTCTCCTCTCAGTTCATGATCATGACGCGCTCGGGGAAAGAGCTTTCTAAATGACCACAGATGGTCAGGACTTCCTCCAGCTGGCCTGAGAGCTGTCTGTGAGCATGTCACACCTGGATTATTCTGTAGGATCTAATTCTCTTTTAATTTATTGTTGTTTGTTTATTTGTTTATCTCCTATATTAGAATGTTAAGTTCCTTAAGGAAGAATGCTTTGTGTTTTTTGCTCTTGGCAAATAGGGTTGGGCACTTAGTAGGTGCTCAATTTGTAGATAAGAAAGGCTATCATGTGAATGTCTTAATATTAAACATGAAGATGAATATGTATCAGGGGTGAGTGTATGGTTGGTGAGATCTCTGTGTATGCCAGGAGCTAGCTGGGAGGCAGGGTATACCCAAATCATTATCTAGGCTGGAGCATAGACACTGAAAGGGAATTAGGAATTGGGTGACCATGGCAAAGCCATGACCCAAGGTGTAATCACGCTCTTACCTCCTTTCATCCTCTTATATCTGCCATTTTCCATAGCGGAGAGAAGTGGCCTTTACCGGAAGTTCTGTGCTTATCTGCAGAGATATTTCAGGGCATGGCCTTCTCCGTATTCCAATCCTTACCCTTTCCCCTTTTCCCTTTTTCTCTCTAGTATTCTTCGTCATCTGAATATTGTATAGTTGATTTGCTTGCTGTGTTTCTTGTCTGTCGCTCTCAAATGGACTATAAGCTTCAAGAGAATGGAGTCTTGTGGTGCCGCTTTATCTCCAACTGCCTGCAATACTATTTGGTTTATAGTAAGGATCCACAGATATTTGAAATTTTGAGCAGTTGTTCATGTTTCTCCATGAAGGGGGAAAAACTATTGTTACCTTGTAGCATTAACAGCATAAAAGTAGCCCATTTGCTATGGGTACTGTGTGTTTTAAACACTGTTAATCCAGCTGAGATGATAAACCCTTGTAACCCTGTGCATGTTACCTTATAACTGGAGTGAAGGTTTTATACCGAAGTGTAAGCAGAGGAGGCAACTGTGGCTTGAGTGATGTGTTTCTCAGCTTCTCTCTGCAGCCCTGCCACTCTTAGACCTATGTTCAAAGTTTTGTAAGCCAGCAGAAACCAAATACAATCAACCAGAAGGATGCTCTTAGTCTTCTAAGAAGCCCCTGTTTTTCACTTTTCCATAAGCCTGTAGACATCTTTCTGTTTTATCTAGGAATGGGTGAAATTTGTCAGAGCTCCTCTTTACTTTGTTGCTGTGGAATCTTCCAGTCAGGGAACACAGGGGCAAGGATGTTTTCTGTGGCCCTGAAGCTGTGGGGTAGGTTTTTGGGTTTGAGCATTTGGGTCATGACCCCTGCACTTTAGTTCCTAACCCAGGGTTACTTTCTTGCTAGCCTGTTGTAAGATGATCACCAAATGATGTTTCTTATGCTACATTTGTAAAAATTGGGAACAAAATCGATGGTCATTGTTATAATGATGTAAGCTCTCTGGGCCATCCAGGAGGTAGCAGAACAAACTGTTGGTTTTATGAAGATGATGAAGTTGTTTTTGAGTGATCTGTGTCATATTGTGGTAACGAAGGCAGATAAATGGATGTTAGATTAGTAGGCTGAACCAATCGTGGTTCTTGTGTATCCAGCAAGCAAACCTTCCGACTCTGTGTTCCACTGAAGGATGGGTTTATGGTCTGTGAGTGGTAGATCATGTAATTTCACCTTCATTGCCCATCTCAGGTAGGACACTGAATGCCAGAAGAAGCATAGAGTCTTTCGCCCACTACCGCCAATTCTTTAGTCGCCACGAAGTGTGTCCTTCCCCCTTCTCTGGGTGTTTGTTCTGACTGCCATTGGATCTGCTTCCTGCTTGTTCATGTAGAAAGACTTCTCTACAGTGTAGGAGGCACAGAAATGGAGGTGAGGAGACACAGTGGAAATCTTTTCGTTGGCTCCTGGTGCCCCCAGCACCTGAGGGTGTTTTCTCTGAAGAAAATCAGGTGGTTTCTGTTTAGGTTTGGAAAGAGCCTTAACTTGCACCCACCAGCATCCACAGAAGTGACTCTTCCAAAGGGGTGGAGGTAAGCTACAGGCAAAGCAGTCTGGATCTTCAGTTTTAAATTTCTTGTTTAGGGCTTCTCACTGTATGTTTCTTTTACATTCACTTGAATTTTTTTTATAAAGAGAGTAAATAATATTCAGCAAACATGATTAACATTTGCAAGTCATACCATGTGATTACTATGCTGAACTCTGACAGTGCAGAATTAGGTAAGACATCTGATCTTTGACAGGCCACAAGCTGGAGGGGGAGTACTAAGAAGTGATGAATGTAGTTTTCAAAGGGTACGGGGGAGAAGCCTCTGCATCTAAGGAAGAGTAAGAGGCTGTGGACTGCAGGGAGCTGGGCTAGTAGCCCCCGGGTTTTTGGAAAAGCGGAAGTCAGGGGCTTCTCAGAAGACTAAGAGAACAGTCTCCTTCTAGTTGGTTGCATTTGGTTTGTGGACAGAACCCTTAGAAGAAGGCCAAGGGAGAAGAACCTGGCACAAATTCTTTTCAGGGATATCAGCTTTTTGTGAAGAGGCAAAGTTGTAGGGGAAACAAGGACCCATCCAGTCAGTCTAGAGGAGACCAGTTTAGTGTTCTGGGCAGCTTTGAATGACTATTGGAAGAGCTGCTTATGCTTACTTGGGTTGTGACTTGAGTCCCACTGAGCCTTGTCTGTGCTCACTTCTCCTGATCACCTCCAAAGAAGAGGGAGTGGTTGAATCTCCTAGTTGTTGTTGAACATGGAGGTACTGAATAGAAATCTCCCAAGCATCTTATAGCTCTTAAATAAAATGGGTACAGGTAACGGTTTTATTATTCTACAAGTCAGTGCTCAAAAGCTTGAGTTACTTTCCTTGAAAGGATTCTGAGTGCCATCTTCTTGCAGCTTCCTCA